CCCCAACTCCAATCATTTGGAACTCAGGCCTAACGGTCTAGCACACTACTATGCCGCGGCTACCATCCAGAAGGTTGATGTCGGCCCAGAGAACGGCATATTGTGTACCATATCATTCTTGCAACTCCCACACCTTCGGAAGATGTCACAGAAAGACCAGGTTAAGTGGTGGGTGAACTCCTCGCGCCTTGAACCGGGCAAGCTGCTTGCCATGGTGGCATCCCATGAAGGGGTTAGACGGCTGCTGTACCTTGTGGTAGAGGATGAATGGATGGAGAGGCATCAATCAAAGAAGTTCAAGGAAATGGTGTCTGGGATGCGACCTAGGGTGCAGGTCAAGCTGGTCCAAGAAACCGAGCTGGACATCAATCTGCTCAACGAGCTACATGCCGCACAAGCACAAGGGCATCTTTTTGAGTTTTGTGGGCTCATTCCTCAGGCATACGAACCCACACTAACCAACATCCAACGGATATCGAAAGAAGATGGTCTCGCGTTCCAAAAGTGGATTATTCCGACGTCAAAGAGTGCTCAGCAACACCGTGCTGTCCCACCCCCGAAATATGCTCGGAAACTGGGATTTGTGTACAAGCTTGACTGCATCACCAAGGAGAAACAACCCTGCGGCTTGAAACTGGACCCAAACAAATCCCCGAAGGGCGATGACCTGATCGCACTGCAAAAGGCTACCGGGCTCAATGCAAGTCAAGCTCAAGCTTTGGTGGCCGCGCTTAGCCAAGAGTTCGTCCAGATCCAGGGGCCCCCTGGTACAGGGAAGACGTATGTCGGTCTTCAAATTGTCAAGGTCTTGGTGAAACATAAAACGACATGTCAGCTCTCCCCCATTTTCATCGTGTAAGTGTTTGATCAGGTGCAGATTCATGTCGTTCCACATGCTGATTTCGGGTTTCTCGATAGTTGCGAGACCAATCATGCTCTGGATCAGTTCGGCGAGCATATCATCCAAGCAGGCATCGACAACGTCGTTCGGGTCGGAAGCCGCAGCAAGTCGAAGCTGTTGGAGAAACGCAACTTCAATTTGATGAGAAGGATCAAAACAACCAAAGCAGAGAAGAACGCCAAGGGCAATATTTCAGCACAAATCCAAGGGGCACTTTCCATGGCCAGGAAATGTCTTGGTCCGATCCACCAAGCAATGGGAAGACGACCCGCCTGGCCGCTTCTGAAGAGTTTCCTTTTGAGCAAATATCCCAGAGTCCACAGCCAGCTCAAACCGGATGATGCCGAAGGGTTTACCCTTGTTGGCGATCCCATCCTGAACTGGCTTGGGCAAAGGCCTTCGAGAATCAATCGTCTTCATTATCCACGATTGATCGGAAAAGCCTCCACCAACATCCTTTCGCTAACAGTCGACGAGAAGTGGGCATTGGTTTTCCACTGGCTTGATAAGCTTGTCCAGGACCAAACCAAGTCTATGATGGGGCATCTACAAAAGGCGCAGAGCCTCCGTCAAGATCTCGCAAGACTTAATCAGGAAATCAACTGCAGGATACTCAGGAATGTAGATATTGTCCTGATGACGACGTCAAGGCTGGCACATGACAACGAAATGCTACGCAAACTCAAACCCAAGGTCATCATTTGCGAGGAGGCAGCTGAGGTGATGGAGCCTCGCATGATGGCGGTGTTCATCCCCGGAGTAGAACACCTCATCCAGATTGGTGACCACCAGCAGTTGCGGCCGTTGGTGCAGAACTCTATGCAGTTCAGCATGGAGACCAAGGTTGGAAAGCACTACCAGCTTGACCGCAGCCTTTTCGAGAGACGTGTCACCGGTGAACCGGGAATGAAGCCTCTCCCCGTCATCCAGCTGAATGAGCAGCAACGCATGCCGCCCGAGATTTCTGCGCTCATCCGAAATAACGTCTACAAAGACCTTCAAGATGGCTCTAGCGTCATGAACCGGCCACAAGTGGTCGGCCTACGAGAAAGATTGTACTGGTGGGACCATGATCACGAAGAGGGCATGGGCCTAAATGCAACTCAAAGCATGTCTTACATTAACTCCGTGGAAGTTGCGATGACGACGGCCCTCGTTCGTCATCTTGTCCGGCAGGGCGTTTACGAAGGGAAAGACATTGCCATTCTGACGCCGTACGCGGGCCAGCTACTCAAACTTCAGGCCGCACTTGACGAGCATTTTGAGGTTGTCTTGAGCGAAAGAGACGAAGAACGCTTAGCTGCTCAAGGGCTCGACAAGAAGAACAAGATCGCAGACTCCGATATCCAGACCCAGACGCTGTTGCCATCCGGCAAGATGCAAATGGCAGAGCCGATACGGCTTGCTACGGTTGATGGTTTCCAAGGCGAACAGGCAAAGGTCATCATCATTTCCCTTGTGCGCAGCAACAAGAAAAGCAAAGTAGGCTTCCTGAAGCTGAAGAACCGGATCAATGTTCTTCTCAGTCGAGTCCAGCACGGCATGTACCTCATCGGCAATGCGGCTACATTTCCGGCTGTGGACATGTGGAAGGATGTTTACCGACAGATCTCAGCCAGGAAGGCGGCGGGTCCTTCGATCCCTCTGTGCTGCCCTCGACACCCCAAGACCCTGATACATTGTACATCACCGGAGGATTTTGTTCGGGTCAGTCCCGAGGGCGGATGCACCCTTGCCTGCGTCGACCGGCTTCCAGTCTGCGATCATCCTTGTCCGAACAAGTGTCATTCGGAGATGCTACACAAGGCGGTTATCTGTCCGAAGCCTTGTCCCAGAATTCGAGGAACATGCAAGCATGCTTGCCCAAAACTCTGTGGAGTTGAGTGTGGAAAGTGTGTGGTGATGGTCAACGAGGTAGAACTCCCGTGTGGCCATACCAAGAACAAGCTCCTGTGCTATCAACTCCAAGAATTGGAGTCTGTTCTTTGTCGCGCCAAGGTGGACAAACAGGTACCAGCTTGTGGCCATACGGTGACAGTCGACTGCTCTACGGACGTCTCTTCGGACAGGTTTCTCTGTGAGGGAACATGCGATGCGCTTCTCCCCTGTAAGCACAAGTGTCAGGGCACATGCTGGCTGTGCCGAAGTCATGACGAAGAGGAATGCGCCACGGTGAAGCACAGGACATGCGAGATTTGCAAGCCAGATACATGTGGCTTGGGCGACATTGAGCGCAAGCTAGCGTTTCTCGATGGGCAGCTGAGACAGTCGTCCGACATTGCGGATACCGATACTGCTAAGCAACTGTTTCTCGGGAAGAACTTCGAAGAAGGGGATGAAGACAAAACTCCTGACGGCTCACCTCCCCAAGACCGCTACGAGAGTTGCCAGAAGCTGTCAGCTCTTTGTCAGGAGACGCAAGAGCCTATGATGGCTCAAGACTTTTTGACGACAGCCATGGACGGCCTCAGTCTGGGCGGGAAACCCCGTCCAAAGGCACAGGCGGATGCCCAGGATCCAGGTGCTTTGTCTGCTCAACTCAAGCTTCTGGGCGCAAGAGTGATCGGGCACAAAACCCAGGAGGCAATACTGCGCGACAAGTTCAGACTATCGGTCAAGATGGGCGAGGACCAAAACCCGTCCGGTACGGACGCTGATCTGCAACTGAAGCGCTCCGTGGACTCCTTCCTGAAAACCAGCTTGGCCTTGCTCGAAGATTGTTTCAAAGTTAGAGCGGAGATGCCGCGTCTGACTTTCATTACTACTATCCTGTATGGCAGGGTGTATTTGATGTTCTTACTGTATCACCAGTGTCTGCTGTTCAACGACGACCGCGCCGTTCCTTCCGGCGCTCGGACTGATGAACTTTCCCGCGACGAGGTGCCAAGGCGGTTGAAAGTAACTTTCGACATATTTGTCAAAGCACAAGGGTTTTGTGACGAGTCATCGAAGGAGGATGCGGATCTCAGGAGATGCCTGCACGAAGTGTTTCGCTTCAAGAAGAGGCCGGTTAAGAATTTGACGTTGAAGGAGGTGGTTGCGGCGATGAGGGAGGCGCCGGTCGTTTTCGTGTCTAACTCGGAGTGAACATCTCGAGGACATATCTGGGATGGCAAGGCATTGCATACCCCAGATCATTCTCATCCCAGAGCTGAACGCAAAACAAGAATTGGGATGTGGTAAACAGAACCCTCGACTCCTTCATTCGCCATCCAATATTCCCTCTCATCCCCATGCCTCTTTGCCCCTGGGTTGCCATCACACCATTCGTTCACTTCTTCCTCAATCCGATATCTGGAATTAGGAAAGGTAAGAGTGGACACGACGCACACATGATGGAAGATTCAGATGTGTATGACCACGGGATGCCGATTTGACCGGTCACTGGTGTTGGCGATGGGAAACCGGGGCGCTTGGATGGGTGTCATCCGGTGTTGACAAGTTCGTGTTAGAGTATTTAGTCGAATGTCGAATAAAAGAGCAAATGCTATAAATAAATGAACTCTGTAGTTTCAGACGCCACGAACCAACGGTGTGGCGTCGTTAGTGACCTTGAGTTGGTGGTATGCACGCCGTTATCAAGTGTGGGAGGACTCGAAGTCGACAGAATCTTCTGGGATATTTTCACCAGCTCAATTCCATCACCGGTCTTCCTTCATATCTTTGGTCGTCAAAGTTGTCACAATCCCAGACCGGACCAGGTCAATTGACCGGAGAAGTCATACAGGCCCTTGTGCTCGATACTGGTCCGCTTTATTCACTGAACTTTCCTCGCTTACCTTTGCCGCCGAATGCCTGTTTCCCCGCAGTTGCCCCGGTCACTGCGAGACTGCCAAGTCGGCCTAGCCCGATTAAATTATAAAGCCTCGAGTAGTGTTGGAGTTGAGAAGCGTGCTTGAACACGTGATACCCATTTTCATGACCATTTTCATATCCCTCTCAAGCTTGCCCTCGCTGGCTCCAAGCACCAGTCCGACGATTGATATATACCCGGGAAAATGACGGTACAGATTAGCCAGTGTCGACAAAAGAAAACGAACGGACCTTCTCCCGGCCGAGACACCTTACCGGTGAAATGCATGCCCCAGAAACTGTCTGTATTTCGTTTGAAAACGTGTGTAATATGCACGCAGCCGCTCGATAGTCGTAACACCTCTGGCAATTGGCGGTCTGATACTCGACACTCACGAAAAGTAACATACAATCTGTGACAGCTTGACGGATTTCGACTCCAGTTTGCATCTCAGTCTTTCGCTGAATTGTTGCCCTACGTCAACTGGCTTTGGCCATCGCTCAACGTTTCTTATGCCGCGCGGTTGTTATGAAAGACAACTTGGGTTGGGCAGAACTTACAGATACCAAAAACACTACTTGCATAGCAGGGATGAGTAGCTCAACTGCAAACGAAGACGCGTTGCGCGATGATGTGCTTACACGCTGGCACAAGGTGCAAGGCAGTTCTACGCCATGGAGCCCGACGGGTGTGAGATCGGAAACGCATCTTGTGTACTCCATTCGCTGTGCGCGAGCTTTCTCTTCGCCCATTCAATACCCTGTGTCAATGTTGACAGCCAACGACCTTGAAACTCGGCGGGCCTCGTGCATATCACCTTCAACGGCAGATAGCTTCCTTTGAAATACAGCCACGCCCCACACAAAGCCTGGCCTGTCAACCTCACGGATTACTTCAAATACCAATCTCAATGCGAGAAAGAAGATGCTTGAGGCCTACAATGTCTCACGGCAGGCTACATGCAGCCGGCATGGAATCCAACTGCATCGTCACCTTCATCGGTTGACTGACTGCAAAGCCCAGTGCTGTCCGGCAAGGAAACAGCAAACGCGAACAGGCATCCATTCTTTCATGTCCTGGTCTATTAGACGCAATGGGTATTGATGGCTTTACATACAAGTAGACGTTGGCCGGAAGTCAAGATTCTGGCAGAGATATGAACTCTGATTCTCCCTACTTCAGGCCTCACGTTCTCTGTCACCGAGACTCTTTGTTGGTTCCGATCTTCTCCAGCCAACACAACTTTCTTAGACGTTCGCCCAGCACGCTCACGCTGCCCAACCGTCCAAAGTCTATCAGAACTCTTGGATTACAGTGTATGCTCTGCTTCCACATCTCCTTCGTCGTGGTCTTACATTTTCATCGCTAACCTGTTGGCGACATACAGCCATTCTGCCTACCCATTTACCACCAACTTCCTTCCTGTTATGCACAATTACAGAGGACAACGAGGACAAGCTCCTGTCGGTCGACGCCCTCAATGGGGACGTGGCCGCGGAGGAGGACGAGGAGGACAGACACGCGGAGGTGGACGCAGCAGAGGAGGTGGTTGGGGCCATGCAGATGATACTGCTCCCCAACGCATCTGCACCCATTTTATGCAGCACCGTACTTGTCGATATGGCGCGGATTGCAGATTCTCTCACGATGTTCCCGAGTTCACCGCAGAGGAGGAAAACGCGCACGAGGCGTATTATGATTGGAGACGCCAGCTTCGCCAGACCGCTCTCTTAAGCAACTACAACTCGCTGTGGACCGATGCCCTTGCTATTTTGGAGGATGATACCTATCGCGAGTGGCAACAGTCCGTCGTGAGAGACCTGGCTGATGATGAGTTCGGCGGGCTGGTCAAACTACGACGAACCGTCAAGTCTTGCATGGACAGCATTGACAACAGCCAGACGTTTCAAGTAGCCACTCCCTTCCTAAAGGTCCTCACCCATCATTCTCTCTGCGACTCACTATCGGTAGATGTGTACGCTGGCAAGATCTACCGCTACTTTGGGGGCATCAACGGGGAGACCGCGATCAGCTTTCTGAGCGACCTGAGCCGCCGTTCTATTTCCATGTTGGAGAAGGGGACATCATTCCCAGCGTCGTGGCAGCCCGATACGACGTGCACATTGCTTCTCACCTGCCTCTTGGGACTCGTTCGTCGGGAACGCAAAGCCCTTTTCAACGATGATCTCCCGAAACTCGTGGATGACCTACAGAGATTTGTCGTGCTTCTTCAGGAAGATGGAAGCTTCGGGCCCGCGACAGATAGATGTACGTCCTGCCTCGACATTATGAGGAGATTGATGGACTCTGCAACTCTGCTCCTTGGAGATGCAGAGATTCATCCGGGAGCTCGTGGCCAATCTGGGCCTGTCCGGTCAACATTTCCGATGGATGCCCATATACCTGGCGGTAGCCACGACAACGACAACGCCAACATCTGCATGATCCAGATTCTTCCCACGCATGGGGAAATTATCAGCAGACATCCTGAGTATTTACCTACAACGGACTTCTTGCAGGCTCATTTTCTCGAGGATCCAGTCCGGCGGCACATTGACACAGCGTTTCGGCTACTGCGCCATGATATCTTTGGCCCCCTCAAAGAAGCCCTGAATGGGTTTCTGGCAGATGATGAGAAACTCACATCTAACGCACACCAATTGATAGACAACAGTGTCAGGGCTCACGTTTATGCCAAAGCACAGATCCAGAGCGTGTTTGTTGGACAACGTACTGGATTGGAAGTCATCTTGTCATTCTCTACCCCTCAACAACTGCGCAAGAGCTCACTAGCCGATAAACGTCGATGGTGGCAGGAATCCTCCAGGCTTGAGCAAGGAGCGTTGGCTTGCTACATTTCACACGACGAAGGGAGGAAACGACCTCTCTTCTTCGTTGTTACCCACAAAAGCACCGACGAACAAGATGATGATTCCCAGGACAGCACGCTTGTCTCCAAGTATTCGGATCCCACTGTCACCGTCAAACTGGCCACTGAATCTCTGGAGTGTCTGGCACTCCTCGTTCGGTTACATACAAGCAAACAGTCAGGTTTTCTCGTTGACCTGCCTGGCATCATTCCGGATACCTTTGTTCCGGTCCTCACAAATCTCCAACGCATCATGTCGGAAGGCGAACTTCCATTCAGTCAATGGATTCTACCCGCTCATGGCAACGCCGGAGAGCGGCCCCAGCAGCTCACCATACCGCTCCCAGCCTATGCTCGCAAGCAAGGGTTCGTCTTCAAGCTGGACTCTATCACCCTCGACAAAAGGAGCTCACTGCGTCTCAATCCCAGCACCAATCACCAAGATATTGACTTAGACAAGTTCGAGAATTCTACTGGGCTCAACCCCAGTCAGTGCAGGGCTCTCATCACTGCTCTCACTCGCGAATACGCGCTGATCCAGGGGCCCCCGGGAACAGGAAAGTCATATGTTGGCGTGCAGCTTGTCCGCGCCTTACTTGCCCACAAGGAAGAGGCATCTCTCGGTCCCGTCCTCATAATCTGTTATACCAATCATGCCCTGGATCAGTTCCTGGTGCATCTGCTCAACTGCGGCATTGAGAAGATAATCCGCATTGGCGGTCAGAGCCGTTGCGAGGAGTTGGATGGCAAGAATCTACGAGTCGTTAGCTCAAGGATCGCGAAATCTACCGTAGAAACTAGGGATTTGGGTGAAGCTTACAGGGAAGTAGAAGAGCTATCGAAGACCGCTGATTACTGCCTGGAGATGCTTCGAATCGCTCGCAAAGGCCGTCCCAGTCAAGAATTGCTGTCTCGATATTTGCCACGACGTTATCCTAGAATATGGCGCCAATTTGATGACCATGGACAGGACGAGGACGGGTTCACACGCGTTGGAGGTGACTCGGTGCAAATGTGGCTGGGAAAGAGGCCTCGTCAAGAGAGGTTTGAAGATGTCAGCGTTGACGAAACCATCGACGAAATCATCGGAAGGGCCGAGACGAATATTCAGTCTCTTGATACTGTGCAGAGATGGATACTTGTCGAATTCTGGATGAAAGAAGTCATCGAGCAACAAACCGGCATTTTGTTCGAATCCATGGATGAGGCCAGAGGCTATCGAAAGCAAATTGATGGCATCCATTCCGAGGTGAACCGTCGAGCCGTGATGGAAGCCGACGTAGTTGGGGTGACAACCACTGGCTTGGCTCGGAACATCGACATGCTGCGGCGAATCGGATCCAAGGTGATCATGTGCGAAGAAGCAGCCGAGGTGATGGAGCCGCATCTAATATCTGCTATGATGCCGAAAGTGGAACACTTTATCCAGATTGGAGATCATCGGCAACTTCGCCCTCAGGTCCAGAACTACCTGCAGTTCAGCATGGAAACTCAGGCCGGCTTGTCTTACCAGCTTGATCGCAGTCAGTTTGAGAGACGTGCCGTCGGAGAGCCGGGATTGGCACCTCTGCCTGTAGCTCAACTCAACGCCCAACGACGCATGCGGCCCGAGATCTCGCGACTCATTCGCAGGATCTATCCTCAGCTTGAGGACCACGATAGCGTTTTCAAGCTCCCGGATGTGGTGGGGATGCGCAAAAACCTCTTCTGGTTGGATCACGAACATCCCGAAGACTCCAAAGATGACGGCGCAAGAGTTACGTCGTACTCGAACGCTTGGGAGTCGGAAATGGCCACGGCACTCGTACGTCACATTGTTCGTCAGGGTGAGTATAGCAGCTCCGACACTGCCCTGCTCACGCCGTACTCTGGCCAGCTACAGAAGCTCAAAGCGGCCCTGAGCAAAGACTTCGAGGTCTTCCTGAGCGACCGAGATATTGAGAAACTGGCTTTGGAGGGATTCGTCGACGGTGCTGCCAAGAACGTTGACCCTACCTCCTACAAGACAATCGAAAAGAAGACTCTGCTTCACACCATCCGCTTAGCAACCGTCGACAACTTCCAGGGAGAAGAGGCAAAGGTGATCATTGTTTCATTAGTTCGCAGCAATATGAACTGCAAGGTTGGCTTTCTGCGCACTGAGAACCGAATCAACGTTCTCCTCAGCAGAGCGCAACATGGAATGTACCTTATCGGGAACTCCAGGACCTACCGGAATGTCAACATGTGGGCCAACGTCCACGAGCAAATGACCGAGATGGAGGCCACGGGTGATTCGATTGCCTTATGCTGTCCTCGGCATCCCGACACTCCGATCGAATGTTCGGAACCGGATGATTTTCTTCGTTACAGCCCTGAGGGAGGATGCGAGCTGCCCTGTGATCGTCGCCTCGAGCCTTGTGGCCATCAATGTCCAGTAAGCTGTCACTCCCAGGCGCTTCATGATGCGTTTCCCTGTCCACAGCCGTGTCCTCGATTCCGGACAACCTGCAGCCATGCCTGCCCGGGATTATGTGGACAAAAGTGTCAACCTTGCTTTGTCAAGCTGGACAATGTTGAACTGCCCTGTGGCCATATCCACAATCAAGTGCCCTGTTATCGTACCCTGAATCTTAAGCACATTACGTGTTCGGTCAAGGTTGAGAAGGTTGTACCGGGCTGTGATCATAAAGTGTTCATCGAGTGTTTCAGGGATGTCACTTCAGAGAAATTCCAGTGCCCAACGGCATGCGACCACATCCTCCCGTGTTCCCACCCATGTCCCGGAACATGCGGAAGATGCAGGGGCGAACTCAAGGAGGGAGAGACTACCTTTCGCCATCAAGTGTGTCCAAAAGTGTGTGCTCGGCCTTACAGCACATGCAACCATCTGTGTCCTAAGAAGTGTCATCAAGGGCAGGACTGTGGAAACTGTGAAAGGCCCTGTGAGGTAAGTTGTGCCACTCTCACCCTTGCCCTTGACCCCCCTGCTTGCCATTGATGCTGACTTTCGAAACAGGTGCGATGTCCCCATTCAAGATGCGCATCGAAATGCCAAAAGCCATGTGCCCCATGCATCGAAAGATGCGCTTGGTCGTGCCAGCACCAGGGCTCATGCACGATGCCTTGTGCAGCGCCTTGCGATCGGCTGCCGTGCGATGAACGTTGTACCCGTCTTCTCAAATGCGGCCACCAGTGCCCAAGTCTATGTGGGGAAGAGTGTCCGCAGGACTATTGTCAGGCATGCTGCTCCCGCAAAGACGACCGGGTCGACATGCTGGAGTTCAAGACATATGAAGAGATCGATCTCAACGAAACCCCCATTGTGGTTCTTGGCTGTGGTCATTTCTTCACTGCTGAGACCTTGGACGGCTTGGTGGGGATGAATGAGGTCTACACGGTTGACAAGACTGGCAGCTACAACGGACTGAAAGATCTTTCGGTCTTAGCCAACGCGGTTCCCTCTTGCCCGGACTGCAAGCGGCCAATCCGGCAATTTGCTACCAAGCGGTACAATCGTGTCATCAACCGAGCAGTGCTAGACGAGACATCCAAGCGTTTCTTGACCAGCGGACGTCAGCAGCTTACAAAGCTCGAGGAGAAACTTCAGAAGTTCGAGAAGACGTTAGAGAGCAGCAGGGAGGCTTTCAAGAGGTCTTATACGCAAAACACCAAGGTGCGATGGGCAATCGGTGCAGAGCTTGCCACGGAAGCCAAGGAGTTGTCCCGCAACATGAAGCGCGAACATCAGCCGACCAAGAGGCTTCTTGATTCGGTGTTGACCTTGCAACTCAAACGAAGAGCGGGCGAGTCCTTACAACAAGGCATGGACAAGTTGAGCATTGATTCTGGGCCAACCTCTGGGCAGGTCAGCGCTCCCGCCTATGATCAACAAGTAACGCTTGGGGCCATGATGGTTTACATTAAGGTGAAAGAGATGAAGATTCAGGATGCCTTACATCTTTCGATGAACTTCGCACAAACTCCAGTCGTGCTGCTCACTGTCTGCAAGCAAGTTGTTGCGGCAGCCTCTGATGCAAAACTTCCGCGTCTCGTCATCGCAGCCAGCCTATCCTACGGTCGGGTCGTTCAGCTTTACGAACGGTCCAGACGTAAAGATCGCAATTCCACTCGAGCCTCCGAGGATGGTACCGAAGAGGGAAAGGGAGATAAGGCTAAGAAAGAAAAAGAAGAGGGGGAGGACCGGGCCAAGACAGCCAAGAAGCTCCTGGGAGATGCACTCGCCCTCTGCAACACTCTTCCCAACACCGAGTCGGACCGCAAGGCAATTGAAGCAACGCTTCGGCTCTACAGGACTGAATGGTACGAAGAGGTGACGCCGGAGGAACTGGCGGCTATCAAGACGGCTATGGTCAGCGGCAGAGGAGGGATCGCGACCCATTCCGGACATTGGTATAATTGCGAGAATGGTCATCCGGTAAGTTTCGGTCGATGGTGCTCCTCTCTCTCTTCCACACACACACACAC